CTTGTCAAGGCTTCCGTGAGTTTTCTGAATCGTGTGTTGATAATGTGAACGCACGAGAGAAAAATGTCCAAGACATTTCCGACATGCAGGCTTGACTGTCGAGGAGATGTGACCTGGAAAGAGAAGGGTTATAAAGGCGTTCGTTTTCTTCAAACTTTTGTGGAGTGATGCTAGTCCAAATATAGAGGCTCCCCGATTTTAGGTTTGTCCTAGTTAACGTAATTCACGGTCGGTCCGATCACCACGGTCGGTCCGATCACCCACCAAAAATCATCGCGCGTTCAACGCGTAATTATTCAACCACCAACCATGCCACGAAAACCGCGTCAATCTCGTCGAAGTTTAGCTTAGCAAGAGGGGAGGATTCAACTTGTAATATAAGCTTTAAAAAAGGGCGAAATTCCGAGTATTCGTCGAGCAACAGAAGTTTTTAATATACCCTACACAACACTCCGCGATCGCATCCAAGGACATGAATTTCAAGCAGAACATCGCAACCGCTCATTCCGACTCTCTGAAACTCAGGAGGAGGCATTAGTTGAATGGATATTATCTAGAGACCGACGAGGAGTCGCTCCTAGGGTCTCGCATGTGCAGCAAATGGCATATCTTCTCCTCCAAGTCGATTCAACAACGCCCCCCAAGCCGCTTGGGCAGAACTGGGTTACTGGCTTTATTAAGCGCCATGAAAGCATTAAAAGTCGATTTGCGCGCAAGTACAACTATCAGCGCGCCCTCTGCGAGGATCCCAAAGCCATGAAGCAGTGGTTTGAGACTTTAGAGGCCTTGCGAAATGAGAACGGCATACAACATGAAGATATCTATAACTTCGATGAAACTGGCTTCGCTATGGGCCTAATTGCAACCTCACGGGTTGTCACAAGGGCTGAGATGCTTGGGAAGCCTCGTCTTATTCAGCCAGGCCAGCGCGAATGGGTCACCGCGATCGAATGTATTGGGTCAGAGGGATATGTTGTTCCGCCAACCATAATCTTTAAAGGGAAGGTCCATATTGAAGGATGGTTCGAAGAACTAGGTCTCCTAGGTGACTGGAGGATTGAATTAAGCGCGAATGGATGGACCACTGATGAGATAACCCTCCGGTGGCTTCAGAAGTGCTTTATTCCTTATACAACTGAGCGCACAATTGGAAGTCATCGACTGCTTGTTCTAGACGGTCATGGGAGTCATTTGACCCCTAAATTCGACAAGGTTTGCAGAGATAATAAGATTATCTGTATCTGCATGCCTGCGCATTCATCGCACCTGCTTCAACCACTAGATGTTGGTTGCTTTGGGCCATTAAAGCGAGCTTATGGAGGCCTAATTGAAGCGAAGATGCGCCTGGGCTTCCACCATATTGACAAACATGACTTCCTAAAGGCCTATCCTGAAGCTCGCGATAAGGTCTTTACTATTCAGAACACCCAGAGCGGCTTTCGCGCAGCTGGGATAGTGCCTTATAATCCTGAAGAGGTCCTAAAGCGATTTAATTATTCGGTATCTACGCCTACCCCCCCCCCTAGCCGGGGGGGTACCTCAACCTCTTCCTCTACACTTGCCACGCCTCATACAGCTCGACAGCTACATAAGAAAGCTTCTTCTATCAAGAAGCTACTTTCTAAGCGGTCCCAGAGTCCTTCTAGTCCTTCTAAACGTGCTTTGGATGAGCTTATAAAGGGTTGCGAGCTAGCTATCTACAATGCTGCATTTACGCTGAAGGAATTGAATGATCTCCGCGCAGAAAGTCAAGTTCAAGCACTTAAAAAGAGTCGATCGAAACGCAAGATGGCCCCTGTACAAGGCCTCCAAGTGCAAGAAGCAAGGGACCTTATTTCATTAAGAAATGAGCAATTGAATCAGGAAGATGGTGGTGGTGAGGAAGCTGATCAAACTACTCCACCAACTTTAGAACCCCGAAAGCGTGCCCCACCGACCTGTTCTGAATGTAATATTCAGGGGCATACTAGAACTAGATGTCCTAATCGTCGCACGACTTAGTTTACTGTATTTAATTAAGAATTGGGTTGTTGGGAATAGCTTCAAGTTCGATGGGTAGAAATATATTTTGGTGGGTGATCGGACCGACCGTGGTGATCGGACCGACCGTGAATTACGTTAGTTATTCGCTTTAGCGGAAGATGACTAAGGCACATGTCCCACGTTCGGCAATTCCTCCCCGTCAATATTTTAATTTTTTTCAAGCCACAAGTGCATCTTGCTTGCAGATGTACATTCCTCCTTTACTTATTTTCAAGCACGCTTGAAACCCTTACCGTCTTGTCGAATCTACCCGCCTCAGTCCAACCTCCAATTACTATCCTTCCACAATGAAGGTCTTCCCTGAAGCGGACGTTATCTGGTGGAATGCGAACTCTTACTACATTCAATGTCCATTTTGCGAATCAGTCCATTGCCATGGCGTTAACTGGAAGGCAAACAAGCTGAGATATTCGCATTGCGAGAGAATGGAGAGTTACCTCTGCTGCTTCCCCTTGAATGATCGAGGCGAGGTTGCGTATGAAATTGGCAAGAGACGAGGACGATATATCAATATTTGCATTGCCCATGATAGGAATACCGAGTATGAATATGGGAATGGTGATGATGCCGATACCGATGATACTGGTGATGAGGATGATGAGGATGATGAGGATGTTAATCGTCTGGCGATCGAATTGGCTCAGAAGGCTACAATCGCGGCACAAAGGGAATAAACATATGCGAGTATTCATGAAGATTCGACAGAACTCGTCATTGTCAATCCAGGACACGGGATTGCGCCATTTGAGCAGAAGCGTATTCTTCTGCCAATCAGCGACTGTGTCAACGGGGATACAAGAGCGGTGCAAAGATATCTAGAAACTTCTCCTGTAGCGACGCTGTTTGTTCGAGGAAGACATTTTGATGGTAAAACAAGCCTTATCAGTGCAGCAGCTGAACAGAATTCGGAGATGATATCACTTCTCATCAAACACGGAGCTGAGGTGAATGCTGTTGACAATTATGGAAGGAGTGCTCTCATGGAGGCAGCGCTTTTTGGCCGGGTTGATAATGTAAAGGTTCTCCTAGAACACAATGCAGACAGATATACTAAGGACTGCGAAAATCGACTTGCCATTGATTTTGCTCGAGAACATCACAGAAATCGACGAGAGAGATACGAGCGTGTTGGAGGCGACCTTACATCTCCATCCAATCGACGGCTGGGCTATGTTGAGGACACATTCAAAAGGGACATTGACCGTCAGGAGATTGTACGGCTCCTCAGCGGAGAGAATAGGGAGTCAAAGATTGTTTTTGGGAGCCCTCCCACATTATCATTGTCTAAGTCCTATTCATTCACGCCTTCACCAATGCGAGACTCGCTTGTATTACACGGGCCGATCGAAGAGTACCCAATCACTCGGGTTTTGAAAACGGTGGCGCGGTTAGAACGAGGAGGGAAATTCCCGTCCATTGGCGCTATGAGCGGCTGGTCACATGGCTCGATGCAATCCCTCAGAATCGATGGTCAGCA